TGTTTCAAGTATTATAAACTCCTTTTCTAAATACATAAAGAAATAAAGTCATTTGAACAAAGAACCTACACCATTGGAAAGAACTAAATGTTTCAAAAAAAATTCTTACTTTTGAAAACAGAAATAAATGCTTAAAGTTATGTAAGTAAAACATGGCATTGAATAAGAAAATTTTCAGGGCTGTGGAGATAGTACAGTTCACACATGCGCTTGCCACACAAGCGTGAGGACTGTAGCTAAGTTACTCCATACTTACAAGTGCAGGGTTGGTAATGAAGCAGCTCCAGCCAGGCTAGCTAACTGAAGAGTGCTGGTTTCAGTTACAGATCCCCTTCTCAAACGTGAAAGTAAAAAGCATCAAGAGCCAATCCGTGGTGGAGCACACCTTCATCCCAGCACTCGAGAGGCAGAGGCAGGTAGATCTCTGTGAGTTCGAGGCCAGCCTGGTCTACAGCGCAAAATCCAGGATGGGCACCAAAACTACACAGAGAAACCCTGTCTCGAAAAACCAAAAACAAAAACAAAACAAAAAAAAAACCACAAACCTAACCAAAACAAAACAAAAAACCAAACAAACAAAAACAAACCAAAAACTAAAAACAACAACAACAACAAAACCCCAAAAATCCCGAAGAAAGATACCTGACATCACTTCTGATCTCCATATACATAAATACACATGTGTGCATTTACATGTACCCATGCACACATACGCACAATGATAATTTTTATTTCTTAGGAATATTCAAAACCTTTAATATTGATATAATGCTAAACATAGCTATTTAAATGGCAGAATAATAACTTGATTAAATGTCATTAGGATTTTTCTGTTACAATACATCCAGGAATATATATGCACACACACACACACACACACACACACACACACGCACACACACAATCTAACTTAGGTAGTCCTCAAACTTGAGCTCCTCCTTTCACAGTGGTAGAATTAATAGCATGTGTCAATGTACATGGTTTACAACCACCCTTACTTAAAAGGGGAAAACATGATGTGGTTTCTTAAAAGTTAAGATCTTTTGTGAAAATAGAAGGGGATGTTGGGGAGAGGGACAAGAGAGGATAGTGGAGGGTGAGATGACCAAAGTGATCAAGGTATGTTATACATCTGTATGAAATATCACAGAGAAACATAGTGCCTTGTTCAGTTAATATGCACTAATAACAAAGAGGAAAAACAGCCTTTGTTTCACTTATAGACAGTGTCTACGCATTTAAAATTAGAAGTAATTATGCATATATTCTGTATTCTAACACAATCTATAAATAGCAATTATTAAAACACTTTTTTTTTCTTCAATGGCATTCTCTAAGTAGCTACCACTTAACATTCATTCCTGATATTTACCCATTAAAATGCAATGGAAAAGCTGACAAAAAGAGGCACATGGCCTGTGTGACTCTTTATACACATAATAATTGATTACTGTTCTGACAACACCACACCTTTTTACATAGTTGTAGAAAGAGTTCATTTTAAATTAATTGACAGCGCTATGAAATAAATTGCTTTACTATGTGGCTGGAAAGTAAAGCAGGCCAATATCAACCATAATTGTATTCAAATTGCTATATAGGGCTTGTGTGGGTGAAGGCTAGAGACAGATTTTTTTTTTTTCATGGGAGGCAAATCTGAGATTAGTGATGCTGATACCGAACATTCTGTGTAGTTCTCAAAGAAAATATTTTTTTCTGTTGGTTCTCCTCCCCCTCCCCACAAAGGTTAGGTTTTTCTGTAGTGATCCAAACTGACTGCTTATGTTACAGTTACATTACTGTATATCATTCATGACTTGGAGTATCATCCAATAAGTATTTAACAATATTGTAAGGTTTTTTCTTTTCCTATTGTTAAGTTGAGAGAAACAGAATTAACACTTCCAATGTGTGCTGAGGAAGTAAGAGAGGCTCACTACTGAAGGTCTTTGATTGGGAATGCATGGAGTTTACCAACACAGAATAAGGGGGAAATTTATTCTAAATTTCAAGTCTAGGATAACAGAAATGATCTCCTCCTAAATTTTTATGGAAAAGAAAAAAATCTCAACTATCCTCAATGTTGTGGCCCTGAATGTTACTATTACTTAAAAAGCCAGGATGATGCTAATATTCATTAAAGGGGTACTGGAACCAAAACAGAACAAACAATCCTTTGCTTTTATTAAGCAACATACACCCTTATCAAGAGCACGTTGGAACACAAAATTACTAGGCCACACATCTTAAGAACTACTACAGAGAAAATGAAGCAATGAAAGTAATGGAGTGGATTCTCTTTATGATAGAGGAAAACAGAAATAAGTTTGGGAAAGTAATGTTGGAGATTACATCATATTTGTAATGCCAAAAGGTTTAGAATTTGATAGTATCCAAAAAAAGTCTGCTGATTTTATCTTGAAATTGGAATAGATATTTCCTACTTAGACATAAGAAACTACATTTGTGTAAGTGGAAAATTCCACATTAATCAAATTACTAATATTTGATACGTAAATAATCTATAGTAAATTTATGATTATTGTAACACATAAAATTATTAGAGTCTAAGGTTCTTTTAGAAAATAGATCATCTGACTTTCTTCAGTGTAATCTACTGACGGGAAATCTCTCCTGCTCACACATGCTCTGTAAGAAGTGTTGGAAAATAGAAAAGGCGAGGACGTGGATGAGATGGCTCCTGACTATGATCCCAGTAGTCAGAGGTCAAAGCATGAAGAGTGTGAGTTTGAGGCCAGCCTCAGGGACAGAAACCTTATCTCACAAAATAAAAGAACAAACATAAAAGCTAAAATAATACAAAGAACCCTCTTATAATATGAAAGTCATTTCTGCTCAATTATCTTGTAATGTTATTAGCTTAGTTTTAGATTTTAATAACCTCATTTCTTTAAGTCAGTGGAAATACTTTAAAATGGCATTACAGCACTATTGAATATTTGATTTCATAATCAAGATGTTTCCTTTTTTTCACATTTTTAAGGAATCTTTTCATCTTTCATTTACATTTATGGAGTCACATGATAACTATGGATTAAGTTTCATAACATGTAGTATGAAAGAGTCATGAACAGAATCATGTATAGAGGAGGTACTCATGATATTTTCCTAAAATCCTCATTACTGAATATTTCAAATTCTTGTCATTGAACTGTTTTCTGATTGGAAGCCCTAGAATTATGACTCAAGATAGAAAGTGAGCAGAGGTGGTAGAAAGAAGGGTCTTCTGTGACAAATCCTAGGTTGGTATTCTGTAAGAGGTCATTTAACACTCAGTTTTAAACAATCCATGCTGATCTCAGTACATTGCTATGTGATACATCTAGCTCCTATGGCCTCAAGGTGGTGAATATGGGATTGGAGGCTCCTTCACTTCATTAAAGCCAATGATAAAAGTTTTGCTGTTTGATAATAAGCTACAAACCGACTGTAGAGATGATTCAAACATTCGTGGCACCCTGCCAGAGTGTGGGAGGATTTGCAGGAGTTCAGATTCCACACTTCAGTGCAAGTCAAGTGGAAAGGGACGACACTGCTGTCTTGAATCAAGCGTCAGTGTGACAATGTGGTGACATCCACTGCTCTTACAGCTCTGCCACTCACCAGATGTGTGATCTCAAGAAACAACAGAGCTCTCGGGTTTTTTTTTTCCTCTCTATTTGGAAGTAAGAATATGATTTTATGATTTTTGGATGCCTTACATTTCCTGGAATAAGTAAAATATCCCATTTTTAAAAAGGTACTGACGTTAGAACCTCTAGAATAAATGCTGTTATAGTATAGATATACTACACTTGTGGACAAAAATCTCCAAACGTGTCAGTTCATTTGTATTACGCTGGGCTTGGAAGAATTTGCAAGTACCCAGGGAATAGTCCATTTGCATGTGTTTAAGTGTCGGTTTTCCGTGATGAGGAGGAGGCAAGATTTTTGTCTACCAAATGAATAGTTCATGGAAACAAAGTAAGTCTCTGGTGTTTTCCCTCCATTTTAAAACTCTCAGCCTCAAATAGATAATGGCAGTGGGCATAAATAAATCTGTGAAAATAAAATGGAAACACAATGATGTGTTGAATCATTACAACCTTTCATATACAGAAATAATTTATTGTTGTCACATTTACATAAATAAATCATTTAGGAAAATAAAAATTTTAAATTTTATTCGGATATTATGGGCAAATTCCAGCACTGAGTGAGCAAATAGATTCTTAACCCACAATGGAATAGATGATACTGCAATAACTTTTTGCTTTATGGGACAGTCCCTGTTACATTAATCATCATTTGCAGTTGATTGTGCCTCTTTCATCTCTGTTTCTCTTAGTAGAAGAATATAAAATCCACCAATCATAAGGTTCTTTTCATATACACACATCTATGTCAGGTGATTGTTGAGCCAAGCAATAGACTTTGAAAAAAATTGGTCTCTGGAACTATCAGGCTTAGGCATAAGTGTGCACACATCCACTAAAGTTTTCTTTTTAACTTGAAAGCCACAGTAGTTCAGACAATCATCACATTATCAATTATAGTTCACAAGGAACAGCTGAATCCAGCAAAGGAAAAATTATGTTTACGTTCAGAACTTTTCCTTTTACAGAAGTGAGGTTTTTGAATAATGCAAATGGTATTTAAAATGTTATATATGACGTTAAGCAGTCTTCAACTCTGTGACATGAAGATATGTATATTTTTCTTGAAATTATAATGTATAAAATTATTCACTTATGGTTGAAAGTATATTTATCTTCACGAACTCAATCTGTATTCTTCTAGTAGATTTCTAAGTACCTGATAAAGTGACTAAATTTGTAACACACAATTTAGATATTCACATATATATGTATGCATATATATTCATATATATATATGTATTCTGATGAAGTAAAAACATTTTCTAAACCCTAAAATGTTTTTTATTGTTTGTATATTTTAAATATTGTAGCCTTTTAGTGTACTATTTTCATTTACCTTCTTCACAGGAAAGGCAGCCATCTTTTATGATTTCCAACCTGTTGGCTATTTACAAGTTTCTTATAAATTTCTGACTTTAGAAAACGAGGAAATGAATCCTTGGCCATGAGACTATAAATTAGTTTCTGAGCCTCATCAAAGCATTTTGGAGTTGGTTCAGCAATATTCCTTGAGATGAGATCTCTGGTACTGAAGTCAATGTTAATCTGTAGAAAACAAGGTTGCATGTAATTACAAGAGATTTTTCAAAACATGCATGGCTTATCAGGATACATGTATTGCTGAATATTTCCAAACACAAACTTATTTGATGGAAAATATCAGCAAGATCATGCATTTTTTTCAACATGATAAACACGTTCTTGGTTTTAAAATTGGTCATAGCTTGAGAGGGGATGACATTGACAGGAAACAACTGAAGCTGACTTCTAATATTTTAAAAAGGCAAAATGAAAATGCACACAAGACACATTATGATTTGAAATATCTTTTCTTTCATACCAGTTTATTTTTTCTAACATTGATCTGAATTCCAAATGGGTACCTTACCTAGGAATAACTATAATGTGCTAGATGGTGTTTTACCACTCTCCATGTATTTAGCAAAACTTTTGGACTCCCATAGCAATGCTTTCCTATTTTGTTTCTTCCTATTTGGCAAAATGAAATCAGATTATATCTTTTCTTCACTGCCATTGTACCTCCTGAAGATCAAAATGAGCATATGTACAAGTATATACACACACACATACATACAATTAAAAACAAACAAACAAACACCACCACCACCACCACAGCAAGAAACCAAAGCCAATGTTGTGTCTCAAGAATAGTCTAAGAGTTCTATTATATTGGAACACATCATTCTCCAGAAGGACCTAGTAGAGTTCTATTATATTGGAACACACCATTCTCCAGAAGGGCCCAATAGGGTTCTATTTTATTGGAACACACCATTCTCCAGAAAAACTGTTAAGGTTCAGACCAACTTCTCTATCCATATTTGAAGATATTTTAGCAGCAGCAGTTTTATCCAAGGCTGCTGAATTAAACTAAAAATATTCATGACATATAAAATATATTCGAATCTTAATATTGTAATCTCCCCAAAGACAGGTGCTGTATCTCATTTATCATCATTTCTAGTACTTAGCTGAATACTCACCACATAATAAGAAATCAATAGATATTTATGGAATAGAATGAGAACATCTCAGGAGAAAATGTGAGAGCTGATAAAGTGTTACAATTTGGGAATTTGGTAAAGGAAAACTTATAAATTCCACTTATGTAGCATTGAAATGAGGCTAAGTGATAGGGAGACAGAGCTGCAATTAAATTCAATTCAGCCTTGTGTATAAGAAAATCAAATCTGTACTTTCAATTTTCCATGCAAAAAAGAGAACAATAAGGGCTCTTAAAGAGTTTTATTTATAAATGAATAAATATTATAAAATATTTTAGTGACTATTATTTTAGGGAAAAGATTAATAAAAAATAATGAATTGAGAAAGAGTCATCAAAAAGAGCATGATCAGGCCTCATATAGTTTCCTTTGATGAGGATTTCAGATACTCATTGGTCCCAGATCCATCTATAATTTTATCTTTTTGATCAGTTTTTTGGTCCTTCCTCAAAGATCCAGATAAAATGTTGAAACTTCATTAAACATCCTCAAACCTGGAATCAGTTGCTCCTTCTTCATTTACTAGGGCACATGATCATTTCAATTCTATCCTTTAACATTGATGCCTAGTCTATTGATAGTCAGATGATATAACAAGAGGGAGATCCATTGGTGGATCCAAATGATGGGGCTGTCTGTTATGTGCCAAATGTTTTCTCTATTTTTGCAACAGACATCTGATGAAATAAAATTTGTCATAGTTAAAACTGAACAATACAAAGTCAGATCTAAGAATTTGGTGAAAGATTTCTGACAGATCAACAATGCAAAATCCTGATGCAGGAAAGAATTTGAAGTTATAAAGAGATACTTGCCTGGTTTGCTGGTGTGTAATTTGCAAGAGAAGAAGCCTGACTTCTGTGTAGTGTGAGATTTGAAGAAGGCCAAGCCAGGTAAAGTATGTGCTGTGATAACGAATTTAGCCTTCACTGTAGTAGAATGAATGAATGAACAGTGACTACTCTCAGGAAATTGTCTTGCAAACACCCATGCTAACCTGTTTCTTATAAGTATCTTGTGTTATAGAAATATGTGAATATAAGTTACAATTTGTTTCTTCAATGCAGAAATTCTTCAACAGCATCTTTAGTGATTTATATCCCCCTGATGATATGTGGAACAACTTAACCTGTTATATTTAGACATTCTCCAGAAGAGGTTTGACTGACCGTAGCATTAATTGGTGCCTACTGAATAGTTATATATACTGTTTCCAAGTCACTATTATCAACACCTTCACTATCATCATCACCACCTTTGTAATCACAATCATGTCTGATGTATGCATTCATGACCTTTGCGGTGTAGTCCTGAGTTACCCATTTTGTTTGTTCTATATCCACTCTGCAGCCAACAGCTCTACCACTGAGATATACCCCCTGTTTCTATGTACACTTCATATTCTAACAAAACTAGAAAATTCCCAGCATATTCTCTATGTTTTGCTACTTCTGAACATGTTTTTCATATTATCCTGCTTAACAAAATGGCTTTTCTTATATAAATCTTCCACAAGACTTTTTGTCTTTCAGATTAAACTCAAGTAATATTTTCCTTATGGGATTATGAGCAGATTAAAAAAATTGTGATCTCACAAAAGGTTTTTCATTACAGAGAATCTGTCAGATATTTACACTTTCTGCATTCCTCAGATGGCTAAGGACCCAATAAACACATATTGTAAAACTCAAGTGAAGAAATGGTTGTGTATTTATTTAAAATCATTCCAAAGTTTAAAAAGAACTCCATTTAAATCCATTAATTCTAATTAATATTATTACCAAAATGTATTCATTTCTGATGTGTTTGCTTCCCAGCCAAGGAACTGCCAGCCTCAGCCATTGATAACTCAGTGATGAGCATATCTTTGTTCCCAGGAGATAATCAGTAGCGTTATGAAGATGTGTCTTAGCAATTCAGCTTAATGTCAGTGACAAAAACATCACACTCACATGTTTATATAAATGTCATTATTTTCTTCAACTTGTTCAAGCTTGACACACAGGAGTCATCCTTGACGCCTCTTTCTTCTCTAATTATTACTCTGTGTGTGTGTGTGTGTGTGTGTGTGTGTGTGTGTGTGTGTGTGTATGTGTGTATGTATGTGTGTGTTTCTGAGTCTGTGTAAATTGTGTCTTTGATCTTGGAGCCTCACAGTAATTTTTTTTCATTTTCACTTTTATGCCTACAGTTTAGGTTTTACTACTTAATGTCTTTCCTTTCTCTTTGATGTTTCATATAAGATCTTTTCTTTGCAACACTGTGTAATGTATTACTATATCATTTTTACCAAAATGCTGTTAATTATACAAATATTATGGAATTCCATTAATTTTCTGTGATATGTATGTGAAACAACTCACTGTGACATCTGAGTCACAGTATCACAGAAGAGATGTCTCTGTTGTTTTCTTGTTATTATGTATAATTTTGATGTAGAAGTCTTGAGAAATAAGGCTTATGTTTATAAACAGATTTGTGAATGAAAGCTTTAGTTATTGTTAAGAGTTTAATTTTGGTTATCCGAGAAAGGGAACTTGTTACAACAAAGGCATTCAACAGTTCAAGGGATGGAAATTAACCTGTCTTTTATTTTCTATCTCTTCCATTTTTTTCTAAATTGTTCGTTTTCTACATCTCTCAAAAATACCTGCAGAATGGATATTCATTTCCAGTAGACTGTCCTCTTTTCTTTCTAGTTTTATTTTCCTTAGCAAGTCTGTTTTATCCCATGACAAAAATTTTGAAAAATGAATTCAATTAAAAAATAATTTGCAAGAATATATAAAGATGATTTAAAATAGGGAAACAATTTCAAGTGGAATGTAAATACTGATATACTAATTGATCTCATGTGTATCTTTTATGTTAACTGTCACATACAACTATAAAATGATTACATTTATGTTATTATTGTTTAGGAAAATGTACCATATATTTTAAAGCTAGCCATTTTATGTATGATATTCCCCGATTTTAACTCATTTAGGGCATTTATTAAAGAGTTGTGTAGAACTGTGCTAGAATGTGAGATTGTGAAGAAAATCATAATGAGAAGTCAATCCAAAAGAAAAAAAATATGCTTTCTAGAAGCAGGTCTCTCCCAAGAAAATGAGATTTGAAACTGGCCTTTGAAGTATCTTTATGAGTAGGAAATATGAAATCTGGGGCATGCCTGTGGGAGGACTCACTGAAAGAAGTCTGCTGGGCTTCAAAGGGGGAGAGGCAAGAGCTGGGTGAGTTAAGCAGGTGGTAGGCCCTGGAGCACTCTACTGTTTTATGTATAGTGAGTGTAATGAGGAGAATTTTAAATAATGTGAACACGTGTTTGAATAGTGACTAACTCTGAGTGGCCCCAATAACAAGGTCTCAATACGGGGAAGATGATCTAGAAACCTTATCAGACAGGTGGGCAGTAGATGGTGGCTTAGAGAGTGACCCTGCAGGGACATCTCATGTATTTTCCAAACACATTTAGTAATAGGGCAAAGAGGACTTATTGCCCAGTTATTATGACCAGAGAAAACATCTTAAGAATGTCAGGGTTTGGGGCATATTCTAAAGGATGATAGAAATGCTTATTAGATATGGACTGTGAGAAAAAGAATGAAGAATAGAGAAGAATATAGAGATGTTTACCATGATCTAGTCAAAACAATGGCAAAACAGAGTTGCCACCAACTGAGATTTAAAAGATGTCGGTAGATGAAAGCTTTGAATGGGAAATAGCACTCAGCTTTCAATTTTCATATATATATATATATATATATAAATTTATTATATGTATTAACAATATAGCTATTGTTTATATCAAAGTAAATATATAGCAATATATATTAAAATATAAATAAATATTCACTTTTGCTAATATAGATACTCTTTGATTTCAGGTACTTTGAGAAACAGTTATTTTATTTGCTTACATTTCAAAATGTTATCTTCTTTAACTCAGAATACTACACTGCTAATCTCAGAAAACAGGACACAAGATTGTGATTTTTATGAAAGGACAGTTGAGAT